CAACAAAGTTACAGGTAACACGAAGGAAAACAAGAAATTCTTTGTTTTTATAAAATTTTATTGCCTATTCCATAAATTTGGCTGAATATGTAAATGCATGGAGTTTTAAGTAATTAATAAAATGCGATATCGTAGTACAAAGGAATACTTGTATAAAACTTTGCTGATATTATACTATGGTATATCTGATAGTACACAATTGTTCACAACGTGTATAAATACTACGGTTATTATAAATATTACGAGTATCATGGCGTCGAGTTTCAAATACAAATTACAATATTAGCAAATATAAAATTGGAAACTTGTAAAGAGTATATAAAAACTGGCTGAGATTCTTTCCACTGAATTTCCAGCTTCCTACTTTCTGCTATCAGGTTATATAACATCTATGTGATACGCCGTGTTAAAAGAGATCGCGATTGTAAATGTGCAAGAAGTATAAATATGTGCTCGATAAAACGCATAAAGTGTTATATTACATACGTACATGTTATGCACGTGCACGTAATGTATCTTGTAATGTGTCCAAGTTGTACACATTTATAATTTTACTTCTAACATAAATTACATATGTTTTTTATATCACGAACAAGGCACTAACATCAACATTGTTTTCTTTGTTCATGACAAATTCCAAATTCTTTCATTAACGGGGTAGCTAGATAATTCTACAAATCCGTATTGTCGATTTGCAACTACTAAGTAAGATAATATTGAAATATGCTTTGCAACGTTATTACTTTTTTTCTTTACTTCTCTGTCATCTATCGAAGTCAAGGAGTTACGCTGTTTATATGCCGCGTTACATAACATCGTGTGTATCGTCATACATGTGTACTGAAATGTTAATTTGTATCTTTCCAACATTTTTATATCGTTGGTGTCTATGTAAGAGTACATGAATTACTTTTTCTAATCGTAATCAAAATGCCAATAAGTACGTTCCAACGGGACAAATTTAGAATCGTGTCATGCCCCCTTTCCTCAAATCATAGTGCACCCTTGTTTACGTTTAATATTATTTAAATTAAATTTAAAATTTCGATGTAAAAATTGAGCGACGTTATTACACATATTATACAAAGAAACAGGGGTTACACAAAATCAAAACTAACAACAAATATAACTCTAATATAAAGATTCAATTATAAAAAATGCATTTTTTAAAAACACAATATATCTCTCTATGTATGTATACATATCAAAAATTTAGTGTAAATATGAGTACCATAAAAAACCGAACGTATAACTAATGATATCTCTAATGATACAGACATTGATAGTATTGTCATTAATTTCTATCGACAACTGTACTGTAGTGACACGTCGTGTCACGATATGCGCGTTTCTCGCATTAACGATAAATTGGTCTGTTTGTAAATAACTATAAAAATAATTGCATGATACAAATATAAAAAGTAAATTAGTAAAACAGCAATTGAGGCCCTTACGGTTTAGGTCTTTTGGTCTTACAACGTTATCGTGAGAACAATAAAGCTGATGGTTGCGTAGTGCCATTTAAAGAAGTCGCATCGACTGGCCCCTGCCCATTGGAGGCCCGGGTAGTTAATATTTGGCGTTAAAATTTCTGCAAATATCAAATCTCTAGTTATAAAAGTTGATTAAAAACAAAAGTGTTCAGGTTTTAAGCATGTATTGGACGTACAATCTTAGACAAAAGTGCATGAAATTGGAAATACTTGAATATCCACTCTTAACGCATAGTAAATCTCACGTACCAGTAAATCTCACAATTTCACAAATTTTTAGCGACTTTGTACTATTTTGAAGATAGGTCCGATACATCCTTAAGTCAACGGTAGTAGTTACGAAATGGAGGAAAACTTATTTCCACGGCTTTTAAGAAGGTGGTGTACTCTTCATCGATAAGTGCCATTGATGAATACATCAGAGAATACAAAATGTCTGCCAAATTGTTAGAATTAAACCGGAAAATTTTTAAGTTACAATTCTATGGTACGAAGACGTAAAGCGCGGGTAATAATAGGACACGTACAAGTTTTAAAATTCTTGTGATAAAATTATTCGTTTTTATGTCGCACGAGAGCACCAGAAGCGAGCAAATTGCTTGCTTTAACCAAAACAAAGAATTGTTTATAACTCTTAAGTAATTTCTCCATGTTCATTAGGACTTTTTTCCCTCCATTTCGTGAGAACTATCTGGCCTTAAAATCCTCAACTTTTTTTACATACCGGAAAAACAAACATAAAAAAACCAATTCGATATCTACAAGTAATGTAATCAATATATATATATATATAAACTATCATTCCGTCCGAAATATGACTTACCTCATTAATATCGTAATTAATAAAAGAAGAACTACCAAGGGTCCAGAAGAAAGTGGAACTACGCCAGTTCCATAATGAGCTTCTCCACAAGCTGGCGGGCAAATAGGAATAATGGTTTCTGCACAAACAAAAGAGGGAACAAATCTAATACATGCTGGCTACGAAAATAAAAATGGACTGGCTAAAGAAAAAAAGATTAGGGGGATCGAAAGATAAGAAATTATACTGAAATATATAACGAAATACACATTGATATAAATTAAATATTGAAATGCATAGTTGAGATAACATGAAAATTTCATTATTATCATGCATATTCAACGTATCGATCAAAAGTTTGTGTCCACTAATTATTACACAACTAGATACCAACATTATCTACAGTTACATACAAAAATGCACGGATCTTTTCCATGTTGTTGCATTCTCTTACCGAAAAGCTCAACTTTGGTCTCAACAGTGCCAAGTTTGTTGGCTGCTTTACATACATATTTTCCATATTGTCGCTTTTCTATAGTAATAACTCGAATCGTTGTGTCAGTATATTCATCCGCGGTTGCAAAGTGCGATATGCTATAATGCTGATTATTTGACAAGACTACATCGTCTTTAAGCCATGTGATAGCTGGGGGTGGATATGCTTCTACGTGACACTCCAAATCCATATCGTATTGCAAAGCTTGTCCGAGTCGTGGCCTGGGAGCTGTGATGACCGGCGCGAATTCAACCTCCACGTTAATGTTACGCCTGGCACCACGCCCAACGCCATTCTCGGCGATGCAATAATACGTTCCGCGATCCTCTTTTTGTATGGAAGGTATTTTTAACACGTTACCACTGCAATTATATCGTGTAAAATATCGTTTGCCAAGTGCCACTTGATAATAACGATTGACTTTAGTTATCGTACCGATAGATCGAGCCTCCGGTCGGCAGAATAGCATTGTTTTCTCTACGCCATGATATCCTCGGTGGCGGAAAGCCATTGGCATAGCATTCCAAATAGATAGATTGCTGCTCGCTAGCTACCAGAGACTGGGTCGAGTTGTCGCTAATTACCGGTGGCCTACGGACTTGCAGCTCCACTTCCGCGCTTATGAGATTGTTTACAGTTATCTGTATTCTACATTGATATAGTCCAGCGTCCGTTTCTTGTATGTCTTTAACCTAAAATGTGAGATGCAAGATTAAGCCCACGTTATTAACAATGGTTTGAACAATGAATGTATCTCGGAGCAATAGAAACACCCCAATGAAATCTTACTTGTAAGACATAGGTGGTAGACGCTGTGTCATACTTGAGGGAAAATCTACTGTCTCTGATTATCAAGGCAGTGCCGGTAGAAAGTGCCACTTGCTCGTGTACGCTGTCCTTATTAACCTTTATCCACAAGACAGGATACTCCTGCGCGTACTGAACGGAGCACTGCAGTTCTACCGTTTCCCCGATATCCTTAATTTGTTCCTGCGATATGTAAGATATTGTCGGAGTACGTTGAGCCGCGACTGGAACAGCGTATAAATTTCTCATTCGTCACGGGCCAAGTAGCACAGTAAATACGGCGTTATCAGCGAAACAATCGTGTTTCATTGATGATCGCGTAATGCGCGGGCGAAATTTGCGTTCGATCCTTACCCGTGTGCAGCAACACGCATATCAAGGCTAGAATAGCACGCATTATGACACACCCAGCACGGTACTCGAGTCTCGATTCGGAGCGTTTAGCTTCTTGCTATGCGATAAACCTGCCGCTCTCGTTCTTGAATATAGAATCCCTTCTGCGTTCTCACTCAAATTTCAAACAAGCGTTCGACTGTCGCGAGATAATGCGATCGACGCGGAATGGAACGTAACGCGCACCAACTCGTCCACAGGCGCTATGCTGTGTAAAACGTCTGCTGACGGTACTGGGGCCCAGTTGTCTGTTGATCACGAGCGTTGCAAAAATGGCGAATGATGCTACGTCTTGAGTCAAGTGCGAGACGAAATCTTGTTTTATCACCAATTCGGATTTCTACCGCAATTGCCGATCCGCATAAATTGACTTTAAATCGCGAGTGGTAATTACGAAATCGTAATTAGTGGGTATAACGTTTTGCGAATAATCGGGATAAATTATTGACGCAACTCGACCATTCTCGCGATTGATTTGAACATTTGAAGTCTCGTACAAATTTAAGCATTGTACCTCGCGAGTACAATTCTTGGAAAAGAGAATTTCTCGTTTGATTTCTAGTTCTTTGCATTTCCATAGTTCCATAATTGTAATAAGTAGATTATTTCAATCCCGACAAACTTATCGACGTTTCATTTACTTATCAATAGAAACATCCTTTTCTGCTGATAATCCCAGATAGCACACATAGTTCTAGGAATATTCTTCTGGAGTGAGAATATTCTTAATTTCAGAATATTCCAATCAAATATTCTATAAATATCTATAAATTATTACAATTAGAAATCGTATATTCATAACAAAAAGAACGTTTTTAGAATATTCGTCGAGAATGTCTTTCGAATATTCGTTCAGAATAATTTTTGAATATTCTTCGAGTTTATGTATTGCACATTGTTTATTGTGTAATATACTTATCTTATGCAAAAGGCAGTAGGATCTGTGATCATACCATATATAACCGACACGCTATATTCGATAGATTATTCTATTCACATTCGAAAAAGATTTATAGTAGTGCCAGTCGAATGTTCCACGAACATAAGATAAATATATAAGAATGGCCAATGGAATATTTCAAATATTCTTGAAGAATATTCTTAAAATATTCATAGGAGTGTCTTGTGCTGTCTGGGATTAAACATTAAACATTCGGAAATATAAACTAGATACAAATATGTATAAATCAATAATGAAAAGAAGAAAGAATAACAGAAAGAAAAAGAAAACGTACGGAATATCGAGTAGAAAAATATTAATAACAATAAGCGAAAAAAGTTGACTACATATCGCACTAACGGTACGAACAAATTATTGATATATTTTATTAATGGTGAGATAGAACTCAATATTTGATTTCTGATTTTCTTATCATCGTCGACACATTGACACATTACACTGCCAAGGGGTCTGTTTTTTTTTTATAGCTGAACTGGCTGCACTATATAGTTCAGAGTTTATCTTTCTCCTTCTAATGTGGAGGGAAAAAGATACACTCGTGAACTAGTGCAGCCAGTTCAGCTATAAAGAACAGACCCAGTAACTCGCAGGGTGTTTTCGAAGGGAGTCGTGAAACGCGTGTCGAAATGAGAGTCACTCGTCAGTGTCATACACGGGAAAAACTGTTGAATTCAACAAAATAAAGTTGCTTGAATTAAACATTAATGTCACGGGCTGCCACAAACATAAATAATTCACTCAATTGTGTTTTCTATGGATTTAATTCTAAGCATTGAACTAAATATCCAGATTGTTAAGACAACAATTTGATATTTCTTATTTATTAATACTGATGTTGTTTCAACGATTTTATTTCAATTACACTGATCTTGTTGATGCAATATTATTCTTTTTTTTCCGTTTAGCTATTCCGTTGTAAGGATATTAAATCAGACTGTAAAATAACACTGTGATCCTCCCCTCTATCGAGCCTCACTCCCTATGGCCAATATATTATTAAAAACTCCTACCTACATATTTAAATTTTTAATTTTAATCTACGAGCAAGCATCTCAGATAATCGCTTTTGATCTCAGATTTTCGCTCATAGACTCTTGACTAAAGTTCTTTGTAGGGAGGAATTAACAAGATCTTTGTTCGTACCTCGTTGTACAGTTCCAATGCCGATGCAGAATAGCGAGACAGAAAAGCGATATAGATTCGCTGAAGCAAGCGTCAATCCGACGACTGAAATGCAATAAATTTCTAATAGGCAAAGAGATATTCCAATGTGAAGGACTTGATTAACCTTCGGTTTATTAACGTTTGCGCGCGACAAAACTGCGAACGTGGGTACCTATAGGTCATGCGGGTTGCGCTGCTATTCTATCTGTGGCCCGCGAAGCCGACGCGAGGCTTCAAGTTCAAGCTCAAAGGAGGAGTCGATGATGAGTTTAAATGCGACATATGTAACACACATGTTGTGTCCGTCGGGTAACCATAGCAATTCCGAAAGCCCTCGACATTCCACCGCTCGACTCGGCCGTTTCCACCCCCCCGCGACGCGGCGGGTGAAATCTTCGCCCCTAAAGGCGAAGGTAATGCACACGTATACCCTCGTGGGCGACCACGTAGATAAGGGACACTGACGGGGCGATATATAAGTATCCTGTTGTCCTCTGTGGTCAGTATATCTGATACTACCGTCGCGAAAGAACGATTCGATCGAAGACGATTCGTCCACACGAGCTCGTTCTCCAACAATTCTCCAGAAAAGAAAGGGAAAATATCTGACGGACGCGCGCGTAAATTTCACCCCGCCTCCTTTCGTTTCGTTTCCTAGCTGCTGGAGATCGTTGACCCAGCTAGGACCTAGCTAGGACCTAGCCGCCCGTCACGACCGGAGACGGTTTAAAGGGCAAACATTAAATGAACTTTTAACAGTATTTTATTCACAACGTTTGAAACATATTGTTAAAACTCGAAGAGACCAAGCTGAAGGAATGAAGGCAAATAAGCGGATGGCAACGATCCAAATGTAAATCCGAAAAGTAGCAAGTGCGCTCGATGCCATCCGATCATGTTTCGCTCCGTAAAAACATCCTCGAGGACCAAATGGACGAGGCTTCTTCGAAGTGTCTTCTCTCGTACCTCCGTAAGGGCATCTCGAGGGCATCACCGCGTTTCTTCGAGCGAGATTGATTCGCGCTCCATTTATAATTAAGCGACTGTTCAACCGATACGACGAGGCCGCCGCCGCGACTATCCAAGCTATCGACACTGGTCGATGCTCGTTTTCTCGCGATTAACTATCCAGATGCGATGAAGAAAGCTCGCCGGTAGTGTCTGGTAGCGTTTTCCGACGGAAATCTAAACGGCGTCACAGAAACGAATCAAACTCCGTTCCAAGATGATCCCGTTGGAAAATGAAGAACGCTTCTCGACCGATCGCGTGCACGAATAATCGCGGAATTGGAACAATTACCGCGAGAAAAGTCGTCGTTTTCGATAAGAGGGAAAATGTTATCGGGCCGATCGACGCTCCGAACACTGTCCATTGAAAGTCTTCCGGTCTTGGCGAACGTACCTTAAGAGAAACACGAAGAGATCAGCATGGACGATAAGCTGCAAGTAGACGATGACAGCCAGGTATACTTAGCACCGTTCGAAAACTCGGTTTTGCATCCCGTGCATGTGAGAATATTTCTCATTGTGAGTTATCGTTTAGTAATATACATACATGTATAAATATGCAAAGTACTACATCGCCCAAGTGTAGCACGAGCACATGTATGTATTATATATAGAGAAGGTGAAATGAGTAATAACACGAAACATTTACGTGTTTACGTGTTCGCGCTTGGAATATCTAAGTGATCCATCTGAACGGAGAGGATGCACGTATCTTGATAATACATCTAAACAGCTCGGATCGATATCTGCATCTGTCATCTCATCAGGGGGCTGTAAGGCCTAAAGTATTCATTATCTCGAATCTACGTGTACATTCGAGTCTAATTACCGTTGTAATAATCGACGTAATACGCTATTTCCAGTTTTACTGCGTAGCACATTAGCAACAAGTCATGTTGATTTTTTATGTTTGAAGGCGATTAAGATATCGATCCTCTGACCATTTTATTCTTGGCGAGCTCATTTCTGTCTCTCGCTCGCATCGTCACCGATCCCGTTGTAAGATTAGAACTCTGACGATGACTTTTCGTGACGCTTTTTTTTTTACAACCGAGGATACGAACGTAGGACGCACGAGCTAGCGGAGGTAATGATCCACCTGGGAAAGCTTTATTTGAATAATTTCAGCAAAACCACATTCGAAGGCCCGGCAGCTGGGGCTTTCTTCACCCCGACGATAATAGTCCAGTCGAGCATCAATTCATCGACGAGAAATCGAGCGGCTCCGGAAACACCTCTCGCGCGTCCTCGGCCAAGTCGACCAAGACCTACAATGCGAGATCTCCGGAATTGACCTCGTGCGTCTACCCGAATAGAGACATCATTTGCGAGCCCGATAGAAATGGCTCGCTGCCCGGCGAAACGCCGGCGAGTGTCAAGCGAAAACTGTCGAGAGCCAGCGTATATCCATCCGGAACGAATCTGATCGCGCAGGATGCCTTCGGTAAGAATTAATTCAGTGCTTAAGGGGATCCTAAAGCCGCTGGCGAGCTCGATCAGTGTCGACAAGATAGGAGACGGAATTAAAAACGTCAATTATCGACATTTGAGATATCACAATGTTCACGATATGCTTCACCTAGCACCTCGTATGGTACTTAAATTACGGAATTTATTAAGCATATGTCGGCTTAACGCGACACGATCTACGCGACATATATAAAGAATAAAACGAGTCGCTCGTGGAAACCCCCGGTTGTCTATAACAGCAATAAAGCTATGTCAGTAAACCTCGATCGATATGCGTGTACGAATGTCAGCGTGTCACGAATATCGGATATTAATAATGCAGCGTTTGACTCGGCTCTAGCATTATCACCGTACGAATGCGCGCTCTAACTTCCTGGTTACTAACTTTTTGCCCTTTTTCGTAATAGCGTCCTACTTTTGCGAAACTATGCCGCGAAATTACAGGTAATATTGCAAGAATGCTTTCAAGGTAAAAGAACTCGCGCCAATGGCAAGAAAGTTTACATTACGCTGTTATTAATTCGCTGTAATTTACCAAGTACAAGAAACTTATATACGGTCGCGAAATGATGAGACTGCAAACACGTGCTGAAGATTATGGTAAATCTGTTTTGTTCTGTTAAACCGGACAAGGTCCCAAACTCACGGCACCCACCTCTCCGGAAATCAACCCCTCGTTACCGGATACGCCGGTTTCTCTGGATTTCGTCGAAAACGCCGGGGACTCGTTACCGCAGAAAGAAACGGGAATCGATCCCGAAGTACTTTACTTTCGGTAAGTAGTTATGGCTAGCGCGATATGTCACGAGTTATTTTTGTTTCCCCTCATTTAGGCTTTAGACAATCAAGTGCGCGTGTAGATATACATAGAAGGACATAAGCACTCGTTTCTATTATTACGAGCTTAATACAATTATCTAGACTAGAACGTTAGCCATTGTCTTATCATTTTTTTATCGTTACTTGAACATGCGCGAGGGAAAGACCAACTCGGGGAAAGAAAATGCAGAGGGTCGTTTATTTCGAGGGTGCTTTATTTCTAGAAATTGCTCTACATAGATCATCCATATACGAGACGGAACATTATTATCAAATTGGCTCATCTTTCGAAAGGATTTTTCTTAATGTTTCACGATTAATTATTAATCGATTCGATTTAATTTTAGCGACGGCCATCGGAGAATCGATATGGTATTAGTCTACCAAGAAGAGAACGAAGGAGTCATGACCGAGTTAGAAGCTCGTCGGCGAGAGCAGAGACGGGTATTTCAACAAAATCTTGTGAAAGAAGGTCTACAACTCGAGCTCGAGCCGAAAGAGAACTCGTTTGACGGGAAAACGTATTTCTTAAAGTTACATATACCTTGGAAAATCAAAGTGCAATATGCCGAAGTAATGAGTCTGAAACTACCTACAAAGAGATTCAAAACGTTCCCTATGAAAACCTGGGTACGTCCTGTTTTTTTTTCAATCACTTACGCGCTAGGCACGTTCCAGGCGTCGCATTACTTGCTCGTAGAGGAAGCTTTGTTTTCGTGAAGAAAATTGTGTTCGAGTACCGCCGGTATTAGCATTATCCAAGATACGAAAACCACTACGCGGAAAAAAATGCTGTTGAATTAAATAAATGGAGTTACTTGAATTAAATGTTAACGCTACGGACTGCCACAAACACGAATAAACCTTAACACCTTAAACTTGCCCAGATGATGAGGAACCCAGCGAGAAATGACTCGTCGATCGATGTCGATTCCACATCGATCGATAAATCATTTCTCACTGGAGAAGCAATGTGCAGATTTCAAACTTGCACCTTTCAGTTTATTTCTATTATTTTGTATCATCGTAAAATGATGCGACTGACATCCAAATTTTAAAAACAGAATGAAGACGGTGCCAAAGAAGTATCGAAATTCTGGGCGCGATGGGCGCGGTGGGCCGAGTGGATACGTAAAATTCATACTTGGGATACATCGAAATATCCCGAGGAACCGCATTTTTATGACTACATAGATTCCGGCGATCGCGAGGAGAGGTATTTAAGTAACGCGAAATTATTATTGAGATAGTTATCGTCGAGCTTGATTATCAAATTTCATGTTTGACAGATTTATCGTGAAGGAAAGGGACAACGCTTATACGCCCGCCCAGAGATCGTTAATAGTGATGCAGATACTATTGCGAGCGAGATATGACGAGAACCACGAGAAATCTGGTATTCGTAGGCTTTTAGCGGACGGAACGTATATCGATTGTTTTCCTTTGCACGAGGGTCCTTATAATAAACCTATGCGCAACGGAGAGGTTCTCGATAGATACCTGTTGTACTTGATATGGGCGAGACCCGCGCAATGGTAATAAAAGAAAAAAACTGGTACGTTGAGTACTCGAAAATTGCATAACATTTGACATTTTTTCTGTATATCTTTAGGTATAAAAAACAGCCGTTGTGGTTAATACGACGATATTTTGGCGAGAAAGTCGCTCTTTACTTCGCGTGGTTAGGATTTTACACGAAATGCTTATATGCACCAGCAGTGGTAGGACTTTTATGCTTCGTTTACGGCCTTGGAAGCATGGACGGTGAAGATAATATTCCCAGCAAAGAAATATGTGATTCTAATATAGCTGGTAAATATTTTGCATTTTTTTTTGTAACTTGCAAAGTGTGCATAAATGTCTCGCACGGTTTACAAATCATTCTGCAATGTCCGCAATATTTTAAATTTTATGTAACGCTATATTTCAGGAAATATCACCCTGTGTCCTCTTTGTGATAAAGCATGTACTTATCAAATACTCGGCGATTCCTGTATATTCTCGAAATTGACTTACTTATTCGACAATCCCGCGACTGTCTTCTTCGCTATTTTTATGTCTTTCTGGGGTAAGATTGAGCAAGGGTTAAATACTTTCTTCCACGTGCATCTCGACGGGTTTTAACATGTTCCTCTTAACTTGTTCGACTCTGATATAATAGCTACTACGTTTCTCGAGCTATGGAAACGACGACAAGCCGTGCTCGTTTGGGAATGGGATCTTCAAAACGCTCAATACGACGAAGAGCCCAGACCTGAATTCGAGACGTCCGTTAAAACGTTCCGAATAAATCCCGTGACGAAGGAGAAAGAACCGTATTTACCCGCGTGGTCTAAAGCTCTTCGAGGTTTGGCTACTGGCTCAATGGTATTTTTTATGGTAATTATATCAGGCATTTCCATTTTTCTCTACAAAGCAATATCTCTTGACGAATTTTTATCGTCATTACTTTTTCGCAGATATGCGTAGTCCTTGGGGCAGTTTTAGGAACGATCGTGTATCGCATTTCGTTAGTCGCAGTCTTTTACGGTGGAGGTGGTGGCTTTTTAAAAAGACACGCCAAAATATTCACTTCCATGACCGCCGCCCTCATTAACTTGATAATAATAATGATACTTACGCGAATATATCATCGATTGGCTCGTTGGATGGTCAATATGGAAAATCCGAGAACGCAGACGGAATACGAAGCCAGTTATACATTTAAAATCTTTTTATTCGAGTTCGTCAACTTTTACTCTTCTTTGATTTACATCGCCTTTTTTAAAGTATATATAATATTAATACATTACAACATTAACAAGCGCCACGGACACTGTTTAAGCTTCATGTTCATTTATTTTAGGGGAGATTTTTCGTCCATCCTGGCGATGCAGATGCGAGAGCCTCGGAATTTTATCGCATTAAAACGGACGTATGCGATCCCGCTGGCTGCCTTTCGGAAGTCTGCATTCAACTTGCAATTATAATGGTCGGTAAACAATGCTTTAACAATTTTGTCGAAATATTATCACCGAAACTGTGGAACTGGTGGCGCAAAAGAACGCAAGTCGCAGCGACAAAAAACCATGATAGAACGTATACCTGTTGGGAGAAAGATTATCAGCTTCAAGACCCAGGAAGACTAGCTTTATTCGACGAGTATTTAGAGATGAGTGAGTCTCACACTAGACGCAGCCGTTCTACGGAGGAACATCTTTTTACAGACTTTTTTTTCTTCTTGTTTATAGTTCTGCAGTATGGATTTGTAACATTATTCGTAGCAGCCTTTCCACTGGCGCCTCTATTCGCTCTATTGAACAATATCGCCGAGATAAGATTAGACGCGTACAAAATGGTCAAGGAGGCACGAAGACCGTTGGCCGAGCGGGTAGAAGATATTGGCGCTTGGTTTGGCATTCTTAGGGGTGTAACTTACGTAGCGGTAGTGTCCAATGTACGTACGCACATAGAAACAAATTGGTCGAGCCGCGCTCTCTGTTACAAAATATACGCATATCTATTTCAGGCTTTTGTTATCGCGTACACATCCGATTTTATCCCACGAAGCGTGTACGCGTTCGTTTATTCGCCCACTGAAGATTTGGTGGGTTACATCGATAGCTCCCTGTCAGAATTCAGTACTTCCGATTATCGCGACGATATGAAGAGCGATGTAGAGGCCGAACATCCAGAGACGTGTCAGTACAGAGGCTATAGAAACGGCCCAGATCACCACGATGATCCTTATGGACTCAGTCCGCAGTACTGGCACGTTTTCGCCGCGCGTCTAGCTTTCGTCGTTGTCTTCGAGCACGTTGTAAGTAGACAACTCGTTCTTTTACCAATGGGCCGATAAAATTCGTCGTTTCGTTAGAGGGAAAACGGGTTTTTACAGGTTTTCGCACTTACCGGTATTATGAGCTACGTAATACCGGCTGTACCGCATTCTTTGACAACTCAGATGCAACGCGAACGACTGATCGCTCAGGAAGAAAAGTACGAAAAGGAAATAAGAGGGAAAGAAGATGAAGACGATTTACTTTCGGTTTTGAGAGAGGCCGGAAGCATCGGTAGAGGAAGCTGGGCTAGACGATTCAGCAAGTTGAGCGACGTTCTAGATACTCACGCTGATATTAGGCATAGTAAACGCAGTGATAGCTCAGTATGGGAAGTCCCTTAAAACCAAGCGTTATCTCTCTGTCTTATACATTCCTCTCATAAAACTCGAAATCGTGAAGGTACAAAAAAAAAGAAAGCCAAATCTTGTCTATTTTCTATCCTCATTGCATCATTTCCAAATAATTTATAAATCCAAAATTCCGTAATAGTACACTTAACGCTTTTCAACATTCTCGCCCCTATTACCAAGTGCACTGTAAAAAACGCAGATGTAAGGTAAGAGTTACAAATCTATTGTTACACAATATACTTTTTTATTTTACATAATGCCATATTTTTTTCCTAGAAATTATTACAATCTATTATGTATATATATATAGAATATATTTATAATAATATACATGTATTTTCTCCCCCTCTCTCTCCCTCTCCCTCCGTGTATATATATATATATGTATATATTCCATGTACGCGCTTTTCTTGATATTGATTCAATATATATATATGTATACATGTTTGTATATGTATATATATGTATTCATCTCGATACACACGTCACTTGTTCTTACGTCTATTACTTAAAAATCTAAGTGTCTAATTACATTAATATATTTTTTATGGATACTATATCACAGTTGTGTTTGAAGGAGAGACGGGGATTTAACGGAAGGAAGCCATTCAGGTAACTGATAATGAGCATAGTCTATTCAGTAAGATTATAAAATGGGTGAACACCAAGTATTGCTATTTCAAAATAACAAACTTTAAAATTTATCGAAATTATCAAAATTATCAAGTCGCCACTGAATATTTTTGATATTTTCACATTTAATGGTTTAATGAATACTTGTGTGGAATCATTCATTAATTTATTAGATATTTTTTACAATTTGTGCGGCAAGGAAGATTGCAGCTTTATTTAACTTACTGAATGGACTAAGCTGCGTCTGAAAGTGTTTTTTGTCAACAAGGTAAAAAAATAGAACTGTGAGAAAGGTAACATTTAACTAGGTCCCGGAGGATGGTTGAAAGTAAAATGGTTGGGAGGAGGTGGAGTGCGTGACAGTACAGGTTTTGGTGGTAACCTTGGTGTCACTGATCCTGAAACGCAACGGTACAAAAATAAGTATTCGTTATATATTAACACATATGAACGTGCAAACGACATATCTCACCGTTAGGTTGTGGTGGCGGTGGCGGTTGCGATTGCGGTTGCGTTGGTGGAAGTTTTGTGGGGCTGGGGCTATTGAAAGACGTATGTCTCCGTGGATGAGTACAGCATGTATTTTCTAACGTGGAATTTCGACGCGCCAATAATGTTGAATTACTTGCGTTTAGCGTCGCTGGAACTCGTGGTGGTAACGGCGGTGGTGAGATATCATCTCTCGGAGGAAGAATTGGTGCGTTTGGACCTTGTTTTGCCTAAATTTGTACAAAACAAAGTTCTTATTTTCTCAAAGAAAATCATACACAATAATTATTGTTTTTTTTGTATGAACCTTAATGCAAAGGTATTCCTACTCTAATGTAATACAGAAATGTAAGCTCGATGCCATCTGTCAAAAACCTTAATATTATTCAACATAACGAGCAATAATAAAATTAATAAGCATCGATATTAAATGAAATAAAAATAATTACTTGAATGAAAAATAACATTTTCCTTAATGTAAATTTCAATTCGCAATATTTTCAAATTTTGCTCCATAAAAATATTTCGGTATTGAATTAGAGCAATACAATTAGAAAAAGCTAAATGAATCTGAGTTAATCTTAGAATCTCACCTGTGGTGATTCGCTACATGAATTTTCTCGTCGTTTAGGTCTAGGTGGTAGAGGTGGTGGAAGTTGACCAGCAGATGTATCATTGGGAGACGACGGTGTTGGTATTGCGCTGGGACTTCCACCTGGGATCGGTAAAACACATTATAGCATTTATCATATTTGTAGCGGTGGTATTAAAAATAAAGTGATTACTTTGATGATGCACAGTAAAGAAAGATTGTCCAGGAGATTGAGGGCTGTTACTCGACGAAGGAATCGAAATTGCCGACATGCTGGGTGGACTAGGTGATGCTGGAAGTGGCGTAGGTGCTACGGGAAAATAATAAGAGTTATATATTTTTAATTATTGCTAATACATGATTTAAACACGTGATGCTTACTGAATACAGGCATAAAACCGCTATGGTCCCCTGTTTGTGAAGTCATTTGTATTCCATGTGGAGGTGTTTCCGGTAATTCGTGGGGCGTTATGTCTGCTGGAGAATCGTGTAATTTGGCCGCTACCATTTGTAACGGAGCTGGTAATTTTCCACTTCTAGCTTTAATTCCTGGCGATTTTAAGTTCAACTCTGGCCATTTACGCGACTGTTGCAAAAAATTTTGTAAAATGTACACATGTACAAAACAATAGTTTTTATACATCGTATCAAGTAACACTTACGAATCGTGGAGGTTGCCGGCATCCTCTTGGCTCGATTTCTAAACTTTTATTATACAAAAAATTGCTTATATCCGCATCTTTCATATTGGGATCAAAAGGACATAGGTTTTCAAGAAATTGTCTTATTCTAGACTCTCCTAAAAGACAATAGGGTTGATTTTGATACTGCTGTATTTCACCAGTTATTTCTGCCACTTTTCGACGTTTGTTAAAATTAATAAGCTCCGGACTTCCCGGTAAGTAATCCGGATTTCCTTCTTCAATATGCAGAATGTTAGTCAAGTACATACCTAAGAATGGAAAAAAGAATTTAAATTTCCGTAGTAATAAAGGATTGAAGAATTTGTAATACTTACCAAAGAATGGTACGCAAGGTGGATTGATAGATCGTAATTTTTCTTGATACTTCCGAAAATGATCGTTGTTGAGCTCTCGTGCTTCTTCCAGCGCTTTTTCTAATCGTGCTGGCAATTGCTGTACAAATAATCGTGTAACAAAATAGTTTATACAAGAATACAGGTATTTAAATTCTTATTATATATATATATAAAATGTGCGCGTACCTGAAATGTAAATTTTAATCTAAAAACCGCAGCTGATCCCATAGCACTGATAATGGCAAGAACGCCATTAAAATTATTGAGATCTTGCAGCACTATCATTATTTCAATTGCACGTGATATAATTGCTAGTCTCTCGTCGAAATTTTCAGCTTCTACTATTGTCTTTTCTAACCATCTTGTGAACTATCAAACCACAATAAAGATCGAATTAGCATCACATAGTGACGTAAAATAACGGGAATTTTATATTACGACTTTAAATAAAAACTTACATTTGTTGTATGCTTAATCATTTTCAGCAAATTTGGTGAGGTTTTTTCCTTATCCTTTTTGGTCCATACAGACCCGACTAACTCGGAAGGCTTTACTGTTCTATACAGATCGAACTCCAATAGTGTTAATTGTCTTGCTAATTCGATAGGATGTAACTGTAATTGATAAGTTATTTCAGTATACTTTGGTAACGAATTTAGCTTTGGTATCGTCTTAAATACATAAAGGTAATAGAGAAATCAAGGGAGAAGTCATTTGTATACCGTAAGTATTCCATATTCGTCCTCAGGAACTTTAAGGTGCCACTCAATCGGTGGAGGAGATCGTTCAAAGCTAAATGTGATAGGTCGTTGTTCCGACGGCTCGCATTTTCTTTGCACAATTTTTATCACCGAATCAACCCACTTCCGCATAGATTTACCGCTAACTGTATCCAAAAACACTTGCAATCTTTCCAAAAGATTTCTATCACGTTCGAAATCGTAAAAATGATGATCCACCTAAAAACATTCATGTAAGAAAATAGAACTTTGAATAATAGTACACTACTATGGGCAGAAAAAGCGCAATACCCATAAAGATACAAGTGACACAATCTCGTACCATCCAAGGGGATGTGCAAGTGATGATAGTGATGAATAGGACCCGGATGTTCGGGCGATTTCTCGGCTCGCGCGCGGAGCACGCGCGGAGCGTGCATCTGACTCACTCGCACACAGCGGTGTGCTCCGCGCGCGAGCCGAGAAATCGCCCGAACATCCGGGCCCTAGTAATGAATAGAAAAAATAATACCAAAGCAGGTGATAAAGAAAGCATGTTTGTCATACAATAGTAGATGTCGAGTCGATAAGTGCAATATCAACAATTAGACGTATTTAAACGAGGCCGTACAGTCACACGAGTGGCTATTTGCCAAACTGATGATCCGGCCTTATTCATGTTCGCTGTACCACCTTGTTCAAATGAATTCAACTTGGAACAGTACTCGCTGTCCACGTCCTGACTTACTGTGTGGTCACACACACGATAATCTATCGCTATCACTGCCTGTTCTTGCGGTCTTTTATCTACAATGGTATGACAACTAATGTTCTCTATATATATGCTTCGATGACGTCTTTCATATTAGTCATTATTATCACTTGCACACTCCCGTGAGTAGCATTTATGGGCACAAGTTTTTGTCACTTGGCCATTTCTTTACGAGTGTTGTATTCTTTCCGGTCAGCGGTGTATTTGAATCTATAAGCAAAAATTGTAAAAAAATGTTACTAACCCAGTGTCTTAAAACGTTTAAAACTCTAAACTGCACCGGTTGACAAAATTCTTTCCTATATCTTTTCCAATCTTCTCTAGCTATCTTGCATACGGAAGGATTTTCTTCTTCACCATATACTAACGAAGGATCTGGTATATCGAATCTTTCTATTAGCAATGTCAATAATTCTTGAGGTGAGCAAAAACTCCTATAAAATATAAGTTGTTAAAAAATAATTTATATATATCCTATGAGTGAGATGTGAGTACAATGTTCTACCATTACTTGCCTGTAAGTAGTAAGGAATGTTCTTACAAAAGCTGGATCAGCATATATGTGATAAGTTAATCTCTCTACCAACTTTACCAAAGTTGCGCCCTTAATCAAGGGAACGCCGCCATTTTCCCTGGCCTCCAAAACAATATTTTCCAGACTATCTTGTTCAGCAAATTTATACAAGTGAGGGGGAGGTAGCCTCAATGGATGCTTTCTTTCCTCGTCCAAGAGGATACTATCTAAAGTTCTTTCTAACATACTTTTTGTATTCAACATCACTAAATCCGCCATCCAATTATTCTTGTCTTCGACAGATTTGGCAACGAGAATAACATTAGGGTGGTCCCTTGGTGCAATTTCAAAAGCATTTTTTAATTCTATAAGAGAAATTTTAATTAGTAAAATCACAAATGTAACACAAATAGCAAAGCTATGTATGCGTTTTACCTTCAGTATCTTCTCTATCAATAATATCAACTTTTCTAATAAAAAGTCTTTCTTTCAGTCGGAGTTCACCTTGATGAGTCGAATGTCCACCTACTCCGACTGCAACGATACCTGCTGCGACAGTAACACTGACTCTTTTACTACCAGTTGGTTTACACAATACTAATAAACCATCGAATAACAAGGCTTTTCTTTCCGTTAATCTTCGTCCATTACTAGCCACCTTTTTCAATGTGTCCTCTGTGTACAAATATCATATAACGATATAAAACTATCAACCATTTAAAAAAATGGTTCAATGTCGAAAGGTAAGATATTTTTTTCATCACCTCTAATAAATTCATTGCAACACTGCCCGATATCTTTTTGATCCCAACCGTCGACAGTCTTTTGTAGTTCATTAGTTTTCTCTAATGCCGCCTGTCTTCTTGCTCTGCTCTGCATTCGCAAGCCCGTATCTTTTTTCGGAAGAATTGCTACAGATTGCATTAATTCCATTTGTAATGGTCTTAACAAACCTTGCACTTGTTCTAGAGTTTCACCATCTTCTGTATTAGGCGTGCGCTTGTGTAAAACCTAAGATATTGAAATATGGAAAAAGATTGTTGTAAAAAAATTTCGTACATACGCGTAACAAGTAGTACGCATAAACCGTTACCTTTATGTAATCAAAATACAGGAAGCAATGCCATATAGGTTGCAGTAAAAGTTTTGGTAAATAATATTTAACAGCCTCCTTAAAACCATGGCCTGCTGCCCGCAAAGCCGTACTAGCTTCCGGTCTTGATAATAAATTTGTTAAAACCTCCCGGCAAGCTGGACTATTAATGTCTTTCGCATATCTAACAATATAATGTAATTAGTAGAAATTTTACATGCGCATACTGTTGCACAATACAGTACATACTTTATGTAAACGTCAAATTCTGCTGCCTCCGCTAATTCTTCAAAACACGAACCAACTGTAAGCGTTTGCTTCTCTTCCATAATTTCCATTATATCTTCTAAACTGCCAAGTAACGTCATAGTAACTTCATAAATATCTGTAATATTACTGAAAAGCGTCTCAACTTCGCTCTTATCTTGCGCTAACTTGGCAATTTCTTCGCGAAATACCTAGTAATGGAAATTAATGTTTTAACCAATCTCGATAAAATTTTAATATTCTCTAACAGCACCTACGATTACCTTGATAATCATATGTAAGTCACGGATGTAATGTCGTTCATCGTGAATGAGATCTCGAACAGACTCTTCATAAGTCTGCGAAACAACTGCACCCAAGCTACTTTGCGGACCCTCTGTACAATCATCTTGATAAAACATGTCCATCAGTACCTATTGATAAATTACAAATAATTATTTTCAATATTTTTATATTCTTGAACATCAAAGGAAGAAATAACAAATGAAATATTTAATAGTTGGAATGTTTATCATAATTTTGTATCCATAACAAAACTAACCACCGCAATAGCATGCAACACATAAGTGATGGACAAAAACGATTGTTACAATTTTCCTACAACATTCGTATGTGTTAAAATGTTATGTATGTTCATGTATTATTAAATGCATGTTACGGTATAATTAGCATAAATGAAGTAAATAGTCATTATCGTATACATGTGTTATCAATTTATGTGTTATATTATTCTCTATATATAAAAGAGATAAAAACACATACTTTGCACATAAAGAGACTCATGCAATTGGAACAAATTATATATACTCTTGCGGTTAGCTATAAAAAAAAGTGGGAAACATGAAAAAGTTGGAGAGTTACTGACATTTAATTTGCTGTGACATTACATTCAATGCTGATATTAAAACGTAACTACTCTGCATGTGTTGCATTAAGAAATACATTAGCAAGCAATTCTTTAAATAAGCAGTGAGTTATATATTTTTAAAGAAGTAATAAGAGAGAAAAAATAACATATTTATGCAATAAACAATTGGAATAACTAGATCGTTGAGATGAAGCATTTATCCAGAACTTTTATATTAAAAAAAAACTTTTTAAGGTTTGTTCTAAAACATATTTCTTCTAATTTCAAAATCGTAAGATAAACTTTATTTATATTTATAAAGTAAATATGGTTAAAACATCTTTTTGCAATTAAAGTATTATAAAAGTTTATTATATATTTTCTTTCCTAGTTGAATTAGATATTTTGTAATTCCGATATTATAATTTAACTATATATATATTTCGCTCATGTAAATAATACTGCAATATTAATTTGATAATAACTTGTTGTATAAAACGAAAACTGCAACACATTATCTAGTTAACTTTTTATAAATTTTGATATAATAGGAAACAATAATAAGTTTTTAAGCTAAGGAATAATAATAGAAAAATAAAAAAGATAGAGGTAAGATTAAATGTGACTTTTCTAAAAACGATATAAAGATGACAAAAAAATATTGTGAAACCTTGAATCTTTTCTGTGCAACCACGAGTACGTACCACCTAAAACAGCATAAGCGAAGAATGAACATGGTTGTAGTTATATTGTTAGTGGAAAGCATGTAACCAAGCATAGAATATATGCAGCCACAATTAGCCTAGTGTAGCAAATTCTGAAATTTGTTAGTGTACCTATTGCTAGTAGTAGATGCTTTAAATTGCAGATTGTGGAGAGAATTTGTACAATTTCCATCTTTTTTTGACCAAGCCAATACAAACTATCATATAGTTGTGATGCATTTTCGAATAAATTAGACAAATGATGTAAAAAGTAACTTGAATCTAAAAACGCGACATAAAGCAAGCTATTACTAGCAAAATATCATATTTCTCTACTGCATCTACTGTCTATTTAATGCAATGTAATACCACTCGTTTTAATCATATTTCCTCTATACAAGCTTCGTAAGCTATAGACCGTCATCTAAATATTTTACAAGACTGATTTACAATATTAAGTAACACTTGCAACAGATATATCTACATATATATTACATACATATGTATTAATATTTATCATTTAAATATGCATATATGTGTATATATATATATACTTAGATCAGTCTTAAAATGTAAATGGTAAAACAGAGTGTATGTTGGTTAAGGTGCAGTACAGAAAAACAAGAATCGTACGTTTCTACAGTGTCTTACCATATCTGCGTACATCGCGACCCTTATGTCTTCGCACGAAATCTCTACGTGACGAATATTCTTGACATAATTTCCAGCTAGCTGAAAAGAAAGTAAGCTTCAATATTTCCAGATAATTCTTTTGAAACAGAAACGAGCCAAGTTTTGCGAGAAGAATTTAACGTTTCGTACAGTACCAACCTTTAAAATATCAGCAGAAATATATTCCAAAACGCCGACTACAAACAGGCTAACTTGCGAGTCAATTTTGTGCTGTAATACTTCCTATTGAAGGAATAGAACAAGTATCATAGTTAGACAGTTTCGACATGATCTTACACGATTTCTGAAACGTTAAAACTGGCACACAGATAAATTACTTTTTGCAATAACTGATGAATCTTGTCGACTGGTAGTACTAATGGCGACTTCTTCTTCCCTTTCTCCAGAGCGTCCCTCGCGTCACGAAGAGCCCATCTATCAATGGGCGTGGGAAACGTCCGTCTTACTCGTTCCTCTACATCTTGAGGAGTCTGCGGAGGTGGATGTCCACAAAGCATGCCTAGCATTCTTAAAATTAAACTTTCCACATAATCTAAGGCATCTTGGCGAGCTTCGAGACTAGGATGTACTTGTTCCAGTACCTGTAAAAGAACGTTTTTGTCTTGGCTATTAACACGAGTGTCTATAGTATATTGTTGTTAAAAATTAAATAAATGTCTAAAGGTGTACAATGACGTTACAATATGTAACACTTTGGCACAGATACGTCGGCGAAGGAGTTGACAGTCGGAGACTGGAGATAAGTGCGAGAATACGATATAAAAAAAAATGCACCAATCGCCGATGTTGACAGGAAGGCACTTGAGAAATCATATGGTGGCCGCGCACGGCAATGACGTCGGTCGGTGTCGTTGATCGATCCAGCCTCGACGTAAAATCATTGGGACGAAAAATGATCGAGCGTTGGAGCGAACAAAACATGAGAAGGAGAGGCGGTGAGGTGGAGGGGGTAGTAAAAGACAAGAAAGCGAGGTATGTACATACATACACAAGACGGACATCGAACGAGCGAGCGAGAGAGAGAGGAGGGGGGAGGAAGAGAGAGAGAGAGGGAGGGAGGGAGAGAGAAGGAGTGCGCGAAAGAGAGAGGAGAGAAATGGATGAAGCTACAAGGATAGCGGAGTGGAATGAAGCGGAATCGGAGCAACGAAAGATGTACCTTGCGCAGGGAGTTGACAAACACTCCCTTCCACTTGGCAGCATTCTCCTCTTTCTGAAAGTCGTAGCCCGACGGCTCGCCCACCGTTGACGCCGGCGACGAAAACATCTCTCACCGAGTGCTCGATAGTCACACGCGCTCTAAGAAAAGTTCGTGGGAAAAGGGCATCGTCAGCAATAGCCAGCAATCGTTCGCGATCGTGGGCAATCGCTAGAAATGGGCCGAGACACGTCCGGTCGAGCACCTTAGGTCGCAGACATCTCCGTCTCGCGCGACTCGCACTGGCAGCTCGCGATGCTTTCCTCACTCTCGACAGCTAGGCCACTCGATTGTAGTATCCGCGCGCTGCTCTCGCGTTCCACGCGCTCGCCGCTCCCGGCAGCGTCACCGAGGCCGAGGCCGTGACCGAGCCAAGAGTCCGAGAGCTCTGGCACTCGTGCATCTTACACGCCCTTTATTCCGTGATTTTTCCCAGCTTCCGTGACGAGCACCAGCGTTAACGCACGCACCGCCAATTGGAACCGACCGACTGAGCCTATGATGGCCGCGATACAATCGCCTTCGGACAATTTATCGATAAATGGGAGTAAGGGTTGGGCAGTTGTGCTTCGATCGATCGATTACCTCACCGATGTTTTCAAATTCGCCCAATCCCTACGTCACTCTTCCTTCTTGTCCGACGCGCCTTGTGCAATTTTTACTAGACTTTCATAGAGATATGTCGTAACGACGTGCTCGGCTTGGAAATTTTATTTGCCGCACAACTTTTTTCGAACGTGCCGATTGGCCAGCGGCCGGCCGGAGGAGGTGCTCTCGGGACTTTTCAATTTCTCTATCCGATAGCCAATCGGCGTGTCCGGAAAACTCGTCTCGCCAAAACCTTCGAATCGCACGTGGTGCGTTGGAGAGAAACGCGTCAATGTGATGCAATGTGCGAGACCTTTAAACGAATACCGCATATTTCTATCACTTTTCATTTTTTTTTACGATTAAATAAACAGGACAAAATTACGGTGCTCTCATGCTCTCATCGTCCTTCGATCGACAGACTTTATCTCGTCCATAACCTGCTTGCTTAATGATATTTCCCTTTTCGACGCGAAATGGCGAAATGCGCCTACTTTTTGCTTTGCCAGCCGAAACGTTCGAGATTTCTGCGTACGTGTGATCGAACGTTAAACGCGATACGAAAATTTGCGGACGACAGGCCGGCTATCGTCCTGGGAATCGAAACGAGCTGCGACGATACGGGATGCGGAATCGTAGATACCGCGGGGAAGATATTGGGCGAAGCGATAAATTCGCAGCATCTTACGCACTTGAAGTAATCACCTACTAGTCAATCCTGTATCTTACAATAATATGCAAATGCTAAAAGCGAGCGGTCTTGTCTCTTTGCAAGAGGACGCTTAGGAAGGGACAAAGCTATTCAGCATTTTCACTACAGTGTGAGATACAGAATTGACCCCTAGCTGAAAAATTCATGTGACACATTTATAAGAATAATTAAATAATATGCAAATTTACTGTGTCATTAAGAAGGATTCGTACAGTTTGATCTGTATCTTGGAAATAAGTGAAATCCCAAAAACTTAAAGATTCCTCCAGCAAGTTGTAATTGTATTCTCATTTTTAGACACGGTGGCATAATACCTACAATTGCCAGTGAAATGCATAGGCAACATATTACTACGGTCTGCGAGGACGCACTCAGATCGGCGAGTCTAAGATTAAGGGATATAGATGCTATCGCGACTACAACTAAACCAGGTCTTCCCATGTCGCTTGACGTTGGAAATAACTTTGGCAAATATCTCTCTAGGATTGGTAACAAACCGTACATACCCGTACATCATATGGAAGCTCACGCGTTAACTGTACGGATGGTGCAGAAAGTACGTTGGAGCTAATTATATGCATAAGACATACGTTGCCTCAAATAAATTATTCGTGTGTGTCTTTTAGGTAGACTTTCCTTATCTTGTTTTGCTTGTATCAGGTGGCCATAGTTTATTAGCGATCGTTGAGAATGTTGATAAGTTTTACTTGCTGGGCACTACGGAAGATAATGCACCCGGTGAAATTCTCGACAAGGTATATTTTGGAGATGTTGCCTCTTGCATGCTCAACCATAAGTTATTTTGTTTGAAAATTTTGTCTTCAAAAAACTTGGTAGAACTTTATGGAAGATCTTATAAGAAATACAGATACAAAAAGATGGGTGTGTAATGTATAACGATAAGTAAATTTGTCTTGAACTTGCAGATCGCTCGTAAGTTAAAGCTCGCGAATATACCGGAGTTCTCGCGTATGAGCGGTGGCCAAGCGATAGAAAGCGCAGCGAGCAAAGCGTCAGATCCAACCAAGTACGTTTTTGAGCCTGTCTTGACAAGAAAGAGAAATTGTCAATTCAGCTTCGCGGGTGTAGCAAACAAAGGTTTTCGCTGTATCGATAAAAAAGAAAAAACTTTTGACATTGCTGATAGTACGGCGATTCTCGACGTGTATAATTTCTGCGCTGGCCTACAAATGTCTATTGCAAAGCACATATGTCTCAGAACGCAGAGGGCAATGGAATTCATTATCAATATGAATTTGATATCGCAAGAGAAGCGAACTCTGGTATGTCTAAGATTGTGTTCATTACCTTCCGATTTTTCCTTGTTTGAAATACTTTAACGTGTATAGGTAATATCTGGCGGAGTGGCTTGCAATAATTTCTTGGCAAAGGCTTTAGAAATTGTTTGCGCGGAAAGAGGCTTTACATTGGTTAGAACTCCACCCCGTTTGTGCAACGACAACGGTGTAATGATAGCGTGGAACGGTGTGGAAAGGTGGATAGCAAACACAGGCGTTCTCCGAAATAGAGAGGAGATCGAAAAGGTAGCCGTCGAGAAAAATGCGTTATTCGGAGAAAGTTGGATCGAAAGAGTACACGATGCAGACATAAAATGTAAATTAGTGAAATTAAATGGGCTTTGAACACACACGAATTTCTATCCAGTCTCTCACTTGGAATTCTTCTACACAAAAAATGGTTTAATTTAAAAAATTTAGATCTCCGCAAATTTTTTCACCGAGTCGGCAACAATAGCGATTATTTTGACAAAACATTTATTTATATATGTTACATATTTATACAGCGGTCGGCGTATGCTCCTTAAGTTGCCAATTTACCTTCTCTATTAGCTGAGAGTTCAAGTTATCATATTGCTCGGCATATTTCTTCTCCTCATATTTATCTAATATTCTCCGTACCTTGTCTTTGATCGTTTTTATCATTTTATTATCTTTCGAGATTAAAGATGCCGGCAAAATTTCATCGAAACGTATCACTTGTTCGGGCCGTATTTCCTCCGGGCACGTAGACACGTAGCTTGATAAATTGTGCAGCACCGGTGTAACTTGTTTGAGAATGTTATCAGCATTGTCAGTGTCCATTTTATTAAGTATAATCATAGCTGGCATTTTTAACAAGTCTGGTTTGTAGAGTTCGATCTCTTTGTTCAACAAGACTACAGTTTCCAAGCAGGATCTACGTCCATGCCTGGGTGACAATTGAAATCCCTGTATGTCCACAATGAACATAAGTAGTTTCGTCCTTTCAACGTGTTTTAAGAATCTGTGACCCATCCCAATATTCATATGCGCTCCCTCAATCAGACCTGGTAAGTCTGCAACGGTAATCGTTCTCAAATCGTTATACTTCATGATTCCTAGTCTGGGCCTTATGGTAGTAACTACAACAGAAAAGATAGGACTGCAGTCAAAAATGTAAATTAATTGAGTACAACCATTTCAGGAAAGCACGTGAAAATGATCCGACAATGAAGCATGCGAAAGGCCTTACAGGGATAAGCGGCGATTTTAGGCTTGGCATTTGAAGTTGCTGCCAAAAATGTGCTTTTGCCAGCGTTGGGAAAGCCAACTAATCCGACATCGGCAATCAATTTTAAATCCAACATTATCGTCTGAGATTCTCCCTTCAGTCCACAGAAACCTGTTTCCGAAGAGCCACCTGAGCCACCTCTGGCTATTAGTAGTTTCGAGTCCTCTTCATTTAGTTCTCCTACGCAAATATTCGAATAAGAGGAAGAGAAAAGTAACGATGAACGTATACAAAGATTATACCCACCTAACACTACTCCATTCTGGTTATATACAGTAATACCACGTGGAATTGGAATAATCATGTCTTCGCCGGGTTTACCTATAATTCCCCTTGCTGAACTGTCACCTCCTGAGTCGGCTTTGATCCGTTTAGTTTTCAAGGCCTTGACAACATTCTCCAATGTTAACCCATCTTTTGCAACCACGTACACGCTACCTCCTACGCCGCCCAACCCACCGTAAGTAGGCAATCCAGAACCTCCTGTACCTGCCCTGACGTGAAGACGAAGCGTGTCAATGAAACTCGAACGTAGGTGTTTCCTTAGTGGCTGCAAAGAGTTTTCTTTATCAGTTAATACATATATAATTATGAAGCTTGTCATGCGTCGGCTATAATGCGTAGAGTTTACCCGGGCGTAAGGAGTAAGAAAGGACCATAATCTTTAGCTTTTGGTATAAGGAAGCTAAAATACAGGCATTATTTTAAAAATATTTTAACACTGGCCGATGGCGTTCCGATACTCGGAGAGTAAGCGCGAGAGGTAAGAGTGAGAAATAAAATTGATTAATTCTCTTCTGCTCCTATAAACTCCTCACCCCAAGCTTACTCCATACATTGTAGACGACCCATGACACTCCATTCAACAATTTACAATCCACTTACCTTTTTCGCGCAAGCTAAAACTCGTGTCAAAAATACCATTTTATCAGTGTTGTAGCAAGTATATATTTATAATTATTTCCTTATGATTTCACACTCCCCACTTTCTAATCTATTTGCGTTTATCCAGCAATATACATTATTTTGTCGCGAGAGGTTAAAACCGCCGTTATCGCATACACCCATGTGCACCGCAGCCACGGACGGAGCAGAAAGTACCCTTATCGACGCGGGGAGTTCGCTTTGAAGGGTGAGGGGAATCTATTGTCGCGGCCATCTTGGTGGATATGATTGGTCGATTGCAAATGCACAACGGGAATGGACCAATCAAATTCGCCTACGTCCATGACCGCAACTTTATCAAGCACGCTACTTTAAGCCAACGGCACACGATACTATTTTTCCTACTGGATTGCTTACGAGAACCAACCAGGATTCAGCTTTGAGTCACCTGATCGAAAACTCTGCGTCCTGATTGGCTCTCGTAAGCAATCCAGTAGGAAAAATAGTATCGTGTGCCGTTGGCTTTACTCACCGAGTTTGTACCGATTGATACCGATTATACTCCAGTTTAAAAAGTTCGTAAGACCGCCTCTAGATGGCACCTTAGTCTTCATAATTGTAGAGTTTTATATGATATTGGCATAAAGTATTTATTTCATATCACGTAAGAAGTTGCACAAAGATATTTCTCCCACGAAAAACGTTTAGATGGCGAATAAATTGAAGAAACTATGTCGGTAAGAGGTACGCGACAACGAAACGGTAGGTACTTTATTGTATAATGCATCGCACCATTTCATATACGCTATTTTGCGACGCCAATCTCATATATCATTTCGTAAACATCTGTTTGTTTATTTGAGTCTAATGCAAATAGTTACGCTGTTTGGTACATAAGGTGTTCCGAATTAGTTTAGACAGCAAATTCTTTTCAACTTTTAATTTTTCTAATTTTTACTAATATAACGTAAAGAGGTTGCATTATACAAAATCCAAAATTTTTTCAGATTTCCGACAAGTCCCAGAATTTTAATTTTCGAGATTTTTAACTCCGAAAACTTGGAAGAAATGTCAAGAGAACATAATCCCGGTAAGGAGGTTGCACTAAAATTCCGAGAATTTTTTTAAGAATTACAATCTCGAGAATTTGAGATTTAAAATCGCAATGTTTAAATTGTTCTTTCGGTGTCGCGTAAAAAATTTGAAGACGTCTAAAACATTCCGTTTTTTTTTCTCAAGAATTTGTGAGAAATTTTTTAGACACACGTGTTGTGCCTGAGTAGATGGATATAGCTTATTATTTAGCTGGCTATACTTTCAAGTAAACCACGTGATGCTGAAATAGACGCGACGGAAGTCTTAAAGCTTACATGCCGCGGCATAAATATTTCATTGACGTAATCACAATGTCTATAAATCGCTATATTTCTTATTTGAATAAAAACGACGCGGTAAGGAAATGTAATGTCATTACAGCATCGAATTACAAGGATGTCGCAAGATAATACCTACGAGAACGAGGAAAATAAAAAGCTTTCAAACACGTCTCTCAAATCTTAACAAAACTAATATTAAGGGTCGGTTTACTTGTATAAATCAGTGTGCATGTCATTTTCCTAACGCGGCGTAAGCTTCACTAAAACTTGTCCGATGGTCGCGGGGGACAAATGCGACCTGGATTGAGTCGCAGCTTGCAGGCGGTTTTCCAGGGGCTGAACGGAGTCGCGATACATATCCTGAGGTCAAGTGAAACCAATCACGAAGAGTATCGCACGGCGCATCAATTGACGGCATCGCCAGAGAACGGGGGGCGCGGGAGAAGTTGCCTCTTCTCGATGAAACACGGATATTCGTCTGACGGTGGAGGCGCGTACGCGAAGCGAAGCGTTAAAATTAAATCTAGCCAGAGGCCGTCGCCGCGTCCTCTCGAGCTCAGTCTCAAGAGCATCCCCTAGCTGCACGGATGCATCCCGGTCGTCGATCGAACTAGCATCCCCCGTCGCGATTCTCTCTCTTTCTCCGTGAACCGCCCCTCCCTTTGTGCGACGCGCATCCGATAATCTGCGAACGTTCGAGGATTCCTCGCGAGACGTCCAATTCGCGCGAACTCGAGGCTCTCGAGCACCCTCACCTAAAAACTTGTCGAGGTAATCCTTCGTCGTATTAAGATCCAAGTTTCTAATTCGACAGTTGCAACTGCGTTCTCATTGCACTCATTAGCGTCAACTTATTCATAGAACCCCTCTCGTTGTTGGACACACGTAACATCTACCGTCGCGGATGCTGTTTTCGCACACTCGAAGCGGATAATATAGTTGTGAGATAATTTTGCAATGCGCCAAGAAGGACATTATATAAAATTTTTAGCGGGATTAGCAGGACGTCGCGAGGAATTTAAACGGCGTCCAGCCAGATCCTCGAGAAAAAGAAAGAGAGAGAGAGAGAGAACGCTCGACTGTGCAATCACCGGAGGACACGTACTGTCAATTTTCCTATGTTTTCTCGGCTAGATTGTGATTTACGCGACTTCGCCGTGCGTCATCGATAACATAATTCCAATTATATATGAATCGCACTTACATTAAACATGTAACGATATTTTTTCACTCTTTTCCAAGCTCTGGAAAATGCATGCACAAAAATAACGTACTGAGAATTAACGTCTGAAACGAAGGAAGAATCAATCTGGCCTAGCAGTCGTAAGAAATTTTCGTCGCCCGATTGCTGAATGATCGTAGGACGAGAAGAGCACACATGTGTGCGATGAGTATGTCATCGGGTTACTAGCCTTGATCATCGGCCAAATACTTGACGGGGAAAGCGCACCGTTGTCACGCTACTCGTGCTAATTTTACATATGACGCAGAAAAGTATGAAAATTGACAGTAACGGCGGAGTCCCGTGACAATGTAATTGCAGCTCGTTGTTCGCCAAACGCTTTTAATCGTGCGGTTTATTTATTTGCCGATAAAACGTTGGCGCCGTAACGTACGTCTGCAAAAGCGCACGTCCGCGTGTGCAAGACGGACGTGTGAGCGAATGGACCGAATTGGTTTCGTTATCGTGTCTGTTTTTATTAATCTAGTAAAATCATTCATTCTTGAATGAAGGGAAAAGGACATATTGTACTTTGGGATCTCGTGTTTAAAGTCGCATTTCCGACAGATGGACCGAGAGGACGAGGACTTTGGCGAGGGCTACATCGCGGAGTCGCACCCGCTGAGACCGACGCATCTCACGGTACCGCTCGGTGGACGCTCCAACTCGCGTGCCCCCAGCATCAGCAGCAGCGTCAGCGATCTCGACGTTCCGATATACACCAGGGAGACCACCATACCTCTCTTAGCGAGGAAGGTAAAGCTCTCGTCGCGATGCGTTCATCGAGCGAGCGAGCAGGCGACATGTTTGTTGTTTCAAACGAAGCTGAATACACACGAAATGAAATTCGTTCCTTGACGTTCAACAGACGCGTCAAAGTTAAATGTTACGACTTACGAATTTAACATAAGACGTAAGAAGATCAAACTCCGATTAAAGAACTCGGTAATGAGGAACTTGTGTTACACAAAATTATCATATATAATATATAAAGAGTTGCGTAAGCAAAGGGAACTGATGTATCGTTCAATCGGAGGGACTCGAAAATAATTCGCTCGCTCGAAAGATGTCGCGAGAAGGTTGCACGGGCTTGTGCCGTAGCACAATTGCCGCGAATGCGAGCCCGGCAGACAACACACGGTCTAACGTGCTCGAGGTGCGCCGAACCGCGAACGGAGACGAGCACCTATGTAGTGAAACATGCACTAGGGGGAAAACACCCTATTTTTAGAGCGATGTCGAAATCTCGCGGTTATTCGAAGCCAGGTGGGCGGACCGCGCGCTCACGCACGTACGCATGTCTCGCGGACCTCGCAGACCCGTGTTTTTTTTCTTTTACCTCTAATTACTCGCGCGGGGTCTCGAAGGCCCCGCACGATATTCTGTATAAATCATCATAAAAACGTTCTCTTATGTAATCTTACGTAATTCGTACGTGCTCCTTAAGGCTGGTCTATGCAAGGCCGTTATCTTGTGCCGGAATCGGTGAAACTTAGCCGATTACAGTCAACTATTCTCTTCACTTTTAACGGTGATTCGACCATTTTTACCGATTCCGGTATAATTTTACAGTTGCGGCCTTGCACGAACCAGCCTTCAGGCCATTACTGCGCGTAGGAATTTTCTCGGAATACGGGCCGGCGTCTAAAGATGATTATCACGTCGGGCACTATTGGCAAGAATTCCACGCGGCGCGTAACTCGCCGCAAAGCCCTCCTCGCCTACTTATTTTCCTCAAGTGTCGTCACGTAGAAAATGTTAAACGATCCAACATACGTTCAACATCTTTTCTCTTTATCTTTGTAGGATTATCTCATATTTTTCACCCATCTGGTCTCCCTTCATTCTTTCCCTCTCTTTCGAGTATCGCATCACTGAAACAAAACACATTTGATCCGGGTTTAATGGTGCTCTCTAGGCAGTCGATTAATTTGCCCTCGGTGCGTATCGCGTCTAATTAAATGAACCGTACGGTTTGAAGAATAGAAAAGAAAAAGTATAACGAACGGGGCCGTGACGGGCGCTGCGTGCGCGAGGTTGCCATCGCCATTTATTTCTTTGGCTGTTGTTTAATGTGACAGAAATAGTTCTGCATCCATGTACGCGCGATAATCGCGCAATAATCCGCACGTGCCGCGGATCGCGGCCGCGGTCTCAACAGGTGAATCGACGCTTCTTTTGATCGCGTGTCCATGATGACGTCCATGGGCGAACGCGTATCGATTGAAGCAGGGGTTGCCATTGGCTGCGCGCAAACCCATGTCCAGCCGTCACGTCAATTCTTTTGGAGAATCTGTGAATTTAACCGCCGATTCCTCGCGTTTACACTAGGACACGATTACGTTGATTATTTCTTTAACTTGTCATAAAAACGCACCCAAGTGTCGCACCGACGATTTATCGGGGGACCAAAACGTGCGCCTTCTTGGAATTGAACGCGACGACGGATGGACGATTGGTCCCGCGCGGCTCTCTACTGCTCGATTCGGTGGATGTGCGCGGATGGCACGTTATCAATTCTGTCTCCTTATCAGTCAACTCTATACTGGAGTACCTACTGCCGTGTTGAGAAGATGAACAGCTAGACCAGTGGGTACCACCTACATCTCTCTCTAATAGTTGCGATTGGTCACCGATTTTCTATCTCGCCTTGTATAAGTGATATAAAATCGTTGATCAGTCAGAATTAGAAAGAGATGCAGAATGGTACCCATTTGTTCGTCTCACTTTGTCCACACGGAGAGAATTTTCTTTTAAAATTTACCTTGAAAATTATGTAATCGTGGGACAACATGGCATTTTGAAGAACTTTGTGAGAGTTTTTTGAAATTTTACTAGTAAAATTTAGTATGGTAAAATTTGAAGAAACTCTTACAAAGTTCTTGCATGATTTTCAGGATAAATTTTCAGAGAAAATTCCCTCCGTCCATCTTCTCCCATTTGAGTAGACATTTCAGTAATAGAGTTCACTGCTCCTCATCCAACGAAAGCTACGGTGCGAATGACGACATTGGTTGCAACTGCGCGGAATATTTGCTCGTCGTGAAAATAGAAAATTATAACGCGAATCTCTCTCGCAGGGAAAACGATGTTAATGCGCGATCGCGCGACTGCTGCGCATAAGCCAAGTATCATCTGAGGCACTTTCTCGCAGCTTCTGTGAAACGAATGTATTTTCAGGGGAAAGAAGACGGGATATGGGAAGCAATTGAATCGACCTAGTTAGACCTAGCTACATCTCGACGGTCTCGAAATCAGGCGGCGCAATGGATACGAAAGATTTTTAAGATTTGGACTGACTTGACAACGAAGCTCCTCTTGAACCGTCTCATAAATTATGTATTTATCGGGTGTACAATCGCCAACATTTTAATTACGCATTAACCCGTCATTGTCGTATCAGTCGATCGTCTCAATTACAGTTGTTCCCGCTCGTTATCGTTCAATGACAGATTCAACGCGATAAGGAAATTATTCGAGACAGCCGTGTCGAGTGTCAGAATCTCCACGGAATCATAAATATAATAAATTGTCAGCTGAATCCAACTGATATCAGGTGGAAAATAAGAGAGAGTAGAAAGTGGAAGATCCTCGGGTGGAAAGTATTATTAGAGAAAAGTCCCCTAATATGGGATAGCGGGGTTTCTGTTAAATTAATAGGCATCAGTTGATTCCACCATGAATTTGCCCTTGGAGTGAAATCTGTTTAGTAGAAAATTCATCGTTAGATTTGATTGAATTTGCGTGTTGAAAATCTGCTATCTCATAATAGAGGACTTTCCTCAACTATTTAACTCTATAAGATTTCTTGGAATGTGTCTTTGCAATTCGAGCTTATTCCTCAGAACGACTTGCAAATCTCAGGATACGTCGCGGTCAATTAATTTCCTCGCAATGAGGAAATCACGCGTTGCTGACTGGCCCGGGGGTGTGCATATCACGTTTTCTTTTCCTCCGAGTGTCGCGCCAGCCGCATCCGGGATGATAAGATGAATGTTCTGTTACATTTTCGCGCGATCGCGTCAGGCAACGCGCCAGCTCTCGACTCTCCGCGACCCTCCTTTGCAGACGTCACCGGCGAATTTTCTCACGCAGTGCGTGCTCACCACCTTTCTTTCCGTTCCTTTCTTTCTAAAGTTTTTCCCACGTAATTATTTCGTAATTAAACACGGATGTTTTGACTGACGATGTCGTCAAATAATACTATATTTATAACGCGTCTCGTGTTTATTTATATTCCCAAGTCATAAATCGCAATATTATCCTATTGAGATACAGCGGCGGAAGGGGATTGACGTTCATATCCCTCATATCATCGATTTCTTATTAGCGAATCGATAAGCCGTTCGCATAACGCAGCTATTCGATAACCATCCACGATTATAAGAGCGATCATTTTCGATCTCGATGTACTAAATGTATTCGCACATCTCACAATCAGTGAAAAAGAAATATTCGTGTTTGCACGTTTTTATTACGCAAACACCGGAAGCAACATCTTTATGCTGGAAGGGAGAAATATTCAAAAATATCATTAGCGGATCGTTTGACCAGCCTGTAGCTGTGCCAATTTTAACACTCGTGTAGGGAGGGAGAGAGAGAGAAAGAGAGAGAGAGAGAGAAAGGAAACGAAAGAAAAGATATGTGCCAAACGTTTATGTCGTTGTCAACTGCAACGTTAATTTTTTTTGTAATTTTTACTGAGAAAGACCCGAAGAAGGGTCGAAACGTTTATGCTATTAAAGAGAAATCTTGATTCTATATTGTGAGAACCGAGTTCCGTTCATTTTGTGGCTCACATTGGCACTCTCTTCTTCCTGCATAGTTAATTTTTTCTTTCTGAACATTTCCCTCCCCCGTTTAATTTTCGAGATGCCCAGCAATCGCGTCATTCATGACGTCATCGTCCCTACAATCGATCCGAAAATCCGAGCGTGCGGTGAATGATGCAACCGCGATTCAACCCGCGCGGGAGTCTCCCCCGTTACGTGGGTGGCACATGAGGGGGTGAAAAACGTGACGCGCTTGCGCCCTGCGATCAGCCGATGGGGTCGCACCGGCTGCGCCAACCCCCGTCCGTGGGGGGTTGAGGCACACGAGGATCGAATCGAGCCCTCAGAGTAGACGAGTCCGCGCTTCCTGCATCTCACCTGCGTCGCCTGCGTGGTGAGTTTGTTTTTCAATATTTCCACACGAGACCCCGCACGTGACTCCGCTGATCGTCGAAAAACGCGAACGACGGCCACTAGCATCACGTTTTGGCGCACGTGATGCGCTTTCGACATCCTCCTGGGTTCATCGAATTGCGTCGATCCCGTAATGTCCGAGCATCGGCACGAGCGTAAAGAGGACAAATGCTCCATTTTATCAGGATCGAAATCCTTGCACCGTACAACATCGTCAAGTCGAATTCTCGACGATCGAAGCGTTGTAGATGTTCCTCGATTTCATCCATGTGCTGCCGATGAAAAACATTCCAGGGTTGAACTTTTCGCCTCAACTTGTCGGAATTAGATCAATTTCAGTCTCGAAGATTTAATTAACATTTATGGAACTCGTGTTTCACATTATTACTGGCATCGTCGTGCAGAATTCGCGACGAAGAGGGTGGGAGGCATATCTGTCGACCTTTGCGATTGACCTTTACGTCCAAGCCGGATTTTCCTTGTGACGTTGGTAGGTCGGTGATAAGCGTAATTGTAGTAAATAACATTTTTTAAGGGAGAAGAACGCGATAAAGTTTAGTAGTAAACGCGGCAGGCTGCGCATATACGGTTCGTTTCCGCATGAGATATTTCGTTCGATACTTTATTGTAGTTGCGTGATACCATTATATCGTTCCTATTGCATCGTGCTGCACGCAGCGTGCGTGACGCATTTTTCAAACATCTATAATGTGTCTTTCAACCTAGAAATATACTTGGTTATCTCGCCGCCAAATAGACGACGTAACTGTTACACAATTGGCGTGCTTAATGAAATTCTTCTTGCGGGAGACACATTTTATTTTTACGCTGACAGTATTAACGTAAATGTGAGATTACCTCCAGAAAAATGCGGCAGGTATCGCGTAATTACGTCGTGATGAAATTTAAGCCTCTTGCACACATTTAATCCCAATATACGTGATCGAATCGCATAATTGAGACGGTGCATTAATTCGGATGAGATAAAGATTGATTGATCAATCGAATCGATGCGATCGGAGAAATGTCACAATTATCAAACTTTTCAAGGGACGAATATTTTAATTGTGAATTTAATTAGCATTTACATTAAATTGCAAACATATAAGGCGTGTGTACTTTCCCAGTTTTGTTTAAGTCTACCGTCAACAAATTCTGACCGCAGAAATAAATTAAGAAAAAATTAGATTCAATTTCTGCTTCTTAAAAATTGTTTCTTTTATCTATGATCATTCAACAATGGATCATTTCATTATTATTTCTTTATAGCATTGTATTTCTATGATGATGTTTCCTTTCTAAAAAGTAATACATATTGCCAACCATTTCGTAGTCTCATCACGCACGTATGTCGATCATCTTATCGTACTTAATAAAGGCTTCGACTAACTAATCGGATTTGCATAAAATGGTTCGAAGGAGAAAAATGTCAGAAGAATAGAGAAGTGATTGTGCCATATTGTCCCATCGACAGATCGAATTTTTGGGGATTTTATAATAGAATTTCCCGTTCAAGTTGATTTTAATACATGATTTCTATATCTTAATGATTTTAATGCAAAGCACAAGAGATAGCATTTCTATGGAAATTGATACTTATTGTACTTTTGTACAATTCTTCAACAATATCCAACTCTTGTCTCATCAAATTTCGTTTCATCGTAAAAATTTCTCTATAATAGTGCTTTCAATAAATTATTCACATTATCAATATACATATGTCGAAAGCGTATCTTTTTTTGAGTATTTGACTACTGCTGGATTTTTCTTGTCGTAATGCTGGGATAAATTTTTCACGATCTTCGTCTACCTGCTTGCGTCACACTTGCATTTATCGTTTTTATGCGAGTTTTTTCGTTTGATATTGCATCATATGCGCAGCGATGCAGACGGTGGTCCGTTCTTAGTCGATCGATGTCGCATTTTGTAAGACATTTTCGAAGTTATCGCGAGTTCCGAGTACTTTTTATCGTCGCGAAATAACTTTTTCTCATTTTTTGGAACGATATTGCCTACGGAACTTTCGGGTCTCACCTGAATTTGCACAGAGAGATATCGTCACGTTTGTTTACCGAATGATTAGGTTTTTTTATAATTTCACTGACCAACTGTTCGTATTCTATTCTTTCAAGCTGCTATACGATGGGCATGGAAAAGGAAAAGGTATCGTATATACATATCTACGCGCGATTCTCACGTCGGAGGCGTAGCCGGAAATTACGCGAAATTTGGAGAGATTTTACGTCTATTTTTGTTTACATATGAAAAGATATCGTAAGAGTACAAATAAGAAACTTCTACAATCAGTTAAGTATAGTATTTTAAAACAATTAATACTTGTGTGCAGAGAATTAAAATTTAATTGCCTCCGGTTCTTAAGGATTAGATATTGCATTGAACCTTTCAAATATACTCTCGCGCTTTCTATACCATCTACGCCCCCGTAGTTTGTGTACATCATGTTGGTGTAATTAAACATTTTCCTCCAGTCAAGTGACGACATTCAAGAACAGGCTTCGACGCCAACGGCTCTGGCTCCTTCGTTGAAGGTAATCCATCTTTCTCCTCAATTAGCTCTCGAGTATAATTGTTCATTTTCGCGTTCAGTAAGCAATGTGAAGAGAAAATTTGGCATTCAATATATTTAAGAAATATTATTTATCACATTGTGATTTACATAACTACTGTTTCATTAAGTTATATCGCGGTTGAATTAGCAAAGATTATATTTTATCCTTTTTTTAAATATAAATTAAATGGGACAATATCTCTATCAATTTGCAATTTATTTTATATATTCGATGCAAAATATATTTAGATAAGCATATCCGAGGATTACATAGATTAACCAAACGAGCAGTCTTAATCATTCGAAATTATAACGCGAGATATTCTACGAGCGCTTATCCGCCTTGTTAACCGTCCAAACATGATAACGCCTTGACATTTGCTTACGAAATTTCTTATGAAATTAACCTTAACTCTTTTCTTCGTATCTTTTCTTTTGCACGCAGACTGCCGCGAGCGATAAGGACTGGGTAAGTACTAGTTGTTACCAAGGATCGTTGTCGATGCGTCTCGAGAAAGTGAATTACGATCAAGCAATTTCATCGCTCAAAGGAAAGTGCGTTCGCGTAACATGACGAATGACAGGGGAACGACGTTGTTGATGTCTCGCCAAAGTCATTGACACGCAAATTATCGCAATGTACCGCGTTCCATTAGCGGGATATTGTCGGATATGTGTAAGCGCGCGGGTTCTCAGATATCCCGACATACATACGCGTGCATATACTATAATCAAGAGACAATTGAAATAAAGTATCGACAATTAGCGACGCTATGCTAAATTGCAATCATGGGAATAATATCCATATAATTGCCATGTATTCGTGACTACACAAAGCGAGCTGTGCCACGATAAACGCGACACAAAGTCCACAAAAGATAACGTTCTATCGTGGCAATGTGT